CCTGGCACCCCGGCCGGGGCTGGGCCGGACCAGACCCTGCACCCTATGCCCGCCGCGTAGCCCCCGAGAATCAGAGCGAAAAGGCAGTCTCTCTTTTTGTCTGGTTGAATCTCTGAGCATACAAAGGGTCATAAAAGAAATTTAACGTGCTTCGCGAGCCGTTTACGGCCCCGGGCCTAAGCACTCAAAAAAAAAAAAATTGTGTTTGACAGGTCCTCACACTCATCCCGCAGCACCTTCCTACCTCTGGGAGCTCCCCTGTAAACTTAAGTGTCGGTATCTGAACAGAAAGAGGTGGTTAGATGGAAGGTGATGCAAGGTTTTTTTTTTTTTTCCTCCCTCGTTTGCTTTTTTGAATGGAACGGAGGAGTGAATTCTTTTAAGAATTATAGTTGTGGGTCGTGAAGGACGGTGTGATGGGCTTGGTAGCCTCATCAGCTTGGTTTTGTGTCACTTGAAGTATGTGCTGGTCAGCTATGGAATTAAGAGCAAGATACTGCACATACTTGCAGAGAGTAGTAAGACAGACCAGGAGATTTAATGCATAGGACAGTGAGCAATATTGTTTGTCATCACAAATTTACGAAGTGATTAGATTTTAATTGTTCCAGCCACTACAACAGGAATAATTACTTGATGTGGTAAAGGTGATAATTGTCACTGCAGTGGCAGTCATTTTGCAGTATATCAGTGTATGGAATCAGCAGTGTTACATGTTAAATATAAAGTGTGTTAATTTCAGTTAAAAAGAGATACTGACCATACCATAGTTTGCAGTAACATTGCAGTCCATTGAAACGAGGCTTTTGAACGTTGCATGTATGGGCTTTTGTAGTACATTTTGTCTTTTTAGAGAGCAGTAACTTTCCCCATCTTGTGGCTCAATATTTTCAGAGATTTCTCATTTCACTGTTTACTTTTCTTACAATGCCAGGTGTTCAGAGATTACCCTCAGGTTGATTTCATGTGTTTAATGAAAGTAAAGAATTATTAAGGGAGTTAAGGCAATTTATTCAGAAGTGCAGTTATTTTTTAAGCAAATACTTTCTGTGGACCTCTTTTATTTTTAAAGGGGATGTTAAATTTTCATAATGCTTTTTGTAATCTGAGGGTTACTGAATTAGTTAGGGAATCATTCTTGTAATCCTATTAGGCATGTATGTGAAATTGGTAGGCGACCTTAAGCTGCCAGACTACATTCATTGTTGTGGACGACTTATTTAACACTGGTGATTCTTAGAGAAATAATTTTCAGGTATCGCAGTGATAACTATACAGTCACCAGAATATCTCATGTATATAGCATGTGGGTAATTGTATAAAACAGTGAGTTAGAGATGTTATTTTCAACAGTTGGTCAGTAAAAGGTTCTGGGTAGGATTAAGAAGCTCATTTACCTTCATAGGGAATTTTGGCTGAGTTTCTTAGTTGTGCTTATTATATAAGTTGTGTTTATTTCTACTGTCTCAAACTTGATTCATTTTCAGTGCTCTTAAAGGAAATGGATGTATTTTAAAACTGTAAGAAATGTTTAAATAATGTGGTTTTTCTGGAGCCTTGGTAGAATTGTAGCTGTAGCTACAGTAAAAGAGTATCTCCCCATAAAGGGAGATATTTTAAAGTCAAATCTGTCAGGACAACTAATAGCGGTTTCAGACACCTCATTTACTTTACTACGCTTCTAAGACTGTTAACTGTGTGCGTGTACTTGTGTGTTTTAACTAGGTGCACTAAAAGTCTGGCAGTTTAATTTCTCTAAAGGTGAAGATTATTTTGGCCTTTTCTTAATGGGAGGGATTGAGTCTTTGCCTTAGAATAACGAATCCAGAAGTTATTATAAAAATAATTGTCTATAAACAAAGATTAAAATGAACAAAAGGATTGTGTATGTGGAAGCCACAGAGAGATAAGTGCAGTGATAGGAGACTGTCCACAGGTGACTGAATTGATGATCTGTTATCTGCTGTATGTTTCAGGATCCTGGGTTTGCCTTATTGTCTTTGTTACTTGTGAACAAATAGTATTTACCCCCCTTCAAATTAAGTCTTTCATAGGGTCTTCTGGTGTTTGGTTTCTGGGTTTTTTGCAGATGCAGGAAGAAGGGTTATAGATTGATTGACCATACATAGTCATGTTTCCCTTATGATCATTTTATATAAAGGAATTATGTTAGAGGATTTTATGGTTAGAAGAGAGATCTTGGATATCGGTTATTTGTGAAAAATGGCTAGCTAGTTCCATAGCCTGGAGGTGAGAGACTTTAGAGTACAGCAGCTGCAGCTGTAGCAGCACCATTTTCATAACTGGTTGGGTGTGCTGGCTTCAAA